AGTGCTCTGTTCATTTAGATTATTTTTTGTGTTCACTTATGATTTTTAGCTTCCCCATTATAATTTATCCTTTTTTATCTGCAGTAAAATGAATAATAGAAAAGATTTTCTCCACCATAGTTCATCAGACGCTTAAACGTTTGAGTCATTCCATGCTGTAGTTTGATCCATGCTCAGTACCTACCTGATACAACAGACCAGGCAGAGCAGAATAAGGTGAGTCGTAACGCGGCCAGGGCTGTGATGCTTACAGCTTACCTGTAGGTAGACTGATATTACAAGTTTGTACAGCAAGTCCAGAGTGCTTTTTATGCTAGCCCAGTTCTGACCTCAGAAGTCTCGGGTGACAGCTAAACCTATATTGGAGGTGTAACCAGACTCATCAGATCCATCCTTTGGAGCTCTTGTTCGTATTTTAGAAGTGAAAGCTACAATGCGCTATTACTAATTTAAGGCAGATCTAACCTTTTGGGTATTTGTTGTAGTGATTAATTTTCAGTACTATGTGGAAGAGGGAGGGGTGTGGAAAGCTCACTTCTTTCTGGTGTACCCAAGGAGGAAGTGTCTAATCTGGCAGCACTCAGTGGTCTATAAGGTATTGCTAGGTAGGCTTTGGAAAAACCACATAACGTATTTTCCAAAGCCAGGCTGCTTCAGAACACGCTTCCTTAAGGGTGTCTGGAGACAACTTCACTGTGCTCCCTTTTTTTTTTCCATCCACTGCAACTTCAGTCACTATACCTAGCTGTACGCCAAAGTAAGTCTTCAGCCCTAACTCAGCTTTGCTTTGTGTGTAGCATGAGTGATTGTATGATTAATTTTATTATTATATAATTCATATCTTTTGTAGGCAAATGTCTGTTGCATTTTTAACGGTTACTTGAGTTCTGTATATATAATTCCTTGTCAGAGAAGCAGTTGAACCTAGCCAAGTTCAAATTGAAACTTCCCAGAGGAATAATCCAAATCTGTATTTCCATATATATTAATAAACTGTGTAATACTTACAGCAACTCATATAATACAGTTTTGAAATGAGATAGAACTAATTATCAGTACAATGAAGAGTGCAGGCTCTTTGCTGTCAGAAATAATGGAGTGAGATCATCTACACAATTATTTCCCCTAGCTCTCTCTGTAGTCCTTTATGCAACCAGGCGCATATAAATCTTTTTCCGCCTATTGTGGTGTAGTGGGACATATACCAGCCCCAGCCAACTCCTGTAATCATGAGCAGCAGGAGTATATAAGTAAACCCTTTAATTTTGTCTGGTTCCATGATGAACCATCAGCAGCACTGTGCATTGCAAAGTTACACGCGTGAGTCCAAATCTCACGTCGGCATGCTGCTGCTGGATGATGGGGGGCGTCATGCTTTAATTCTGCCACCCTGCTTTTATACTCATTATCTGGGTATGAGTCTGAAGTGACTCCTTTCTCTTTGCACCATGGTGGGTTTGCACTGATGTGGATTGGTCCATATTACTGAGGTGTGAATTTGGCACTCCTCTTATTATTCTTGCCTTTATTAGTCAAACTGCGGTGGGAAACGCACACTGCTGACGCTCAAGAGTCACTTCCAGCTGTAAGTAACAAATGTAAACCTTTTGTGAATCTGAATGATGACAAAGGTCCAGGACCAAGATAACCAGGACCAGGAATCAGATGCTAGTCTTCATCATCTTGGGGTTTACAGTGCGGAGCCATCGGCTGCAGGTCAGCTCCTACACCCCAAGAAGCATGGACTCTCTTTTAAATATGCTGGAAAAGAAGGAAATGGTATCCTTCCATTTTTGTCTAGTAGCTGACCAGATGATGTGGAAGAGCAAAGCCAGATCTACTTCAACCATGGAGCACAAGAGCAAGATCTGCTCCCATCTCTACCTGCCACCTCTCTCTGGCCTGACAGTAAGCTATTTATTCTGGAGTAAGGGTAGTGTGCAGGTGAGGAAGGGAGTGGATTTCACTTGGGATGTTGGAAGGGATTCAACAAAGAATGGAAAAAGCAATGATGGAGGCAGGGAATGAGAAAAAATGTGATTCAGTTGTTTTAACGAATTAGTGCTTTTACACATTGTGCTTTCATTTAGAAAATTTTTATTTCTGGAATAGAAGATGCAACAGCTTGCTAAAAACATGCTTCATGTGATTGCAGTTCTGTGTATTCTTAGCAAAGGGTCAAGCCCATCACTTCAAGGAATTTGTGTGAGTACATCCAAAACAGAATCTGCCTAAACACCGCCACAAAGAAGTGAAGTAAATGCAGTGAGGAAATAGAGTAACCTGATAAGAATTATAACATGTCAAGCACATGGAAAACTGAATTTTTTTTTTGCTATACATGTCTTACGCAGCAGACTTGGGGGAAGCAGCAGATTTCCCACCTGCATTCTTCAGCGTGTTTGGATAGTAATCTTCTTTAAATAATGCGACAGAGACTTTTCTGTAGTCTAGCATCAGAGGATTATATTATTTTCAGAACAATTTATGAAAGATTAGTAGAGGCATAGTTAATCATTTAAATTAGCTACAGGTTTTTAATCTTCAAATTAATGAGTTCTACCTTTTGATCTTTTCTGGCTGTAAATCCCCCTGGAATTGATGCCAATTAGAATTCAGTAATAGCTTGGTTATAAACATGGATTGGTGCGTGCATACATGTGTGGATGCGTGTGTTTGAGGGCTTTGTGCATGTGTGTGTGTATGCATGTGCAAGTATGTGTCAGTGCCCCCTAGAGGGTGGAACATGTTCAGTTAGACTTGTTCAGTTGTCAGCAATTGGGAAAGTGGGCCTCTCTTCTAGTGGAAATCAAAGTCAAAATGGAAGGACCTTAGTAAGCTCATAAAGATTCTGCTTTATCGTGCATGAAGTTCTGCATTGCGCAGTACCAATCTGATGCTTTGAGGATGATGAAATAGAGCTTGTGTGTAACTTACAAAAAAGATGAAGATTTACTGTCTCCTGGGGGCAGTATCAGGGAATGCAGTGACCTTACTCACTCTTCAAATGAACCATTGAGAAATGTTCTTGTCTTTTAGAGAAGGTATTCAGCACCAAATAAATTGCACCAGCCTGGGGCAACGTGAGTTAGGAAGCTTACAGAGCAGACTGTCCCTGCTCACAGCTCCACTCTGTGTAAAGGGGAAACAGGAAGCAATTAGGGCTTTCCAGGACTTTACAGTTCTCATACTGACGTTTCTACGTGCCCACAGTGATACCATTTCAAACCTCCTTGTAAACAGAGCCCTTGCTGACCTGTGTGTGTAGTTGAGTTGCTTTGTGTGGTGACTGAATTGCCCTAATTGAAATGTGCTGCAGGTTTACAGCGTGAGCATTGGGAAGAACTGCATTTCAGAACTGATAAGCATATATGAGTACAGCAGAAATAATGCCAAGTGCTCAGTCCTACCTCCCAGCACAATGCAGTGCATGGTATGACAGCGTTTGTTTCAGCTGAGCTTTCCTTCTTCTATACCTGTGTTTCTGAATGGTTGGGCATTATTTTCTTCCTGGTGTTCCGCAGCTCATTGCCCTCTCCTGTCCTACACTCATATCCTACCAGTCTGATGCTGCTCATGTTGCAGATTCATGTGGATTTGATGAGAAGTTAATGTTCAATTTCCTATATCCAAGTAATTTTTAGAGCATTTCTCTCCCTTACCACATTTTAGTCTGAAGGGGAATGATTGATTGTACCCCAAGAGCCTTATTTCCCAAGATACATGTATGTCTGCAGTCAAAGATGAGTGCGGGAGAGTGCAGATCAATACATGGTGTTGCATTTCTAAAGCAGTATTCTTTGCCCTACCAGCCATCTCATCATTTTCCTAAAAACTCAGTCCTGACTTCTAATTTTTGAGATTTTCTCTGTAGGCAATTTTCTCTGTAGGCAATTTCTAGTCACAGTGGTGTGAAACCTGAGTAAAAACCTTTTCTCAATTTCTCTTTGTAAAATTTTGAGTGCATAGGAGTGTATCTGCATTTCAGTTACTGGCAGTTCTGTTCACTTGTGTTGAAAACCAGACTGTGCTCTAATAGTCATCCTGTTTTAAGAGCAGAAAAGAGCATTGCATGTTTACAAAGCAAAAATTGCAACACTAAGGGTTTTGTTTTTTTTTTTTTTTATTAATGCTTTTGGTGTCGGGGCATGTAAATATCAACAGTGGGGAAGATTGATGTGAGGATAGTGCATAATGTTATATGGTCAGGATGTCCTTAGCCTGGAAATAAGCAGGAGATTTTTAACCATCAGAGGAGTGAAGCATCTAAAGTCCATTCCGGATATGTTCAGCCATGCATGTAGGGAAGGAACCTAAATCACTATGGGATGAAGCTTGATAAATCTGTAGAAGAAATTAATGATGGAGAATTCTGCTGTTATAAATTAAAGCTTGTAAAAAGAGTTTTTGATGTCTGTGTCTTTGGTATATTCAGTGGGGAAGCTGAGAGAAGTTTTTTTGATGTTCTTCCATTGCACTGAAGAATGTCACCTCATTAGTATTAGCTAGATGCTTTTACCCAGCAAGTTTCCCTGCAGGGATGACTTAGTCACACCCTGGTTTCACTTCAGAATTCTTACAATGTTTGTGTGTTTCATGCTAAGTGTTTGAATTGCCTGTAAGGTATTGGAGAAGTGTTTTGTGACTTGTGGGAAAAGAAGCCTGATGAATGGTCTGCAGACCCTTCTGGACTAAGGGTGGGATCCACATCACTGAACTGTAGTGACCTTAGAATTTGGTTATGTTCTTTTTCTGCCGTTGTGCTACAAGACACAAATTTAAGAAAAAAATCAAATTTTGGAAGGGTCTTTTCCCTTTTCCCATCTTTTGTTCTAGCAAAAAATCTCACAAGCTGTTATGTATGTATATGCTAAACTATTACAGATCATGGTTACTGGACATCCCATTTCCAGCGAATTACAGATGGAGCTGAGACCTGCTTCTCGGTACTATTGAAGCAGAGGTGGCTCATTTACTTGTATGTATGTTTTCCCTTACAGTATAGGTGGAGAAGTAGTGAGAGGAAATGAAGGAAGCTACGTGGGGAAACATTTCCGCATGGGATTTATGACAATGCCTGCTCCTCAGGACAGACTGCCACATCCTTGCTCCAGTGGCTTTACCGTGAGATCCCAATCTCTTCATTCTGTTGGAGGAACCGATGATGAAAGTAGCAGCTCTCGTAAGCAGCCACCACCAAAACCTAAACGCGACCCCAACACCAAACTGAGCACCTCATCTGAAACAGTCAACACTGGACCAACAAGTAAGAGTGGGAAACTACCGGACAGGACTGAAGGTAAACAGCACAATTATTCAGAAAAAGGTTGTGGAGAGCCAGTGTTAAGATTAGCCGGTTGATAATCTTGCATTTAAACATTACCTGTATGTCTCCCCATCTGGGTAACAATGCTAGCAGAGGTTTCCTAGATTTCCCCAAATTTTGGACCAATAGATAGTTGGCAGCCTTTGACATTTCTTACAGGTCCATACTGTGCTGGGCCTGTTATACACTGTAAAGTGAGTTGAATTCCTGCAGTATGGAGGGAGTGTACTGTTCTGCAGCAAAGGGAGGGAAAAAGAGGCCAGATGGCTTATGAACACAGTGTTATCTGCAGACCAGCCAAGGACCACTTACTATGACCACTAGCACTATACAAACCCCAGCTTTGGACAGGGTCCTCCTCAACAAAGTAGTAAAGGGCAGAAATTATTGAAGAGAATACTGCCTGGCTGTGAAACTCTATTGCAAGGAAACACCATCTGATAGTAAAAATTGTACGTGAGATGATAGGGTATATTGCCCAAAGCTTGTGTTTGCTTATGCATCTACGTTTTTCTCTTCCTGTTCCTCCCAACTGCATTTCAGCAGGTGCAGTGTTCAGAAGCAAATAAATAAATAAAAGGCATTGCATGAGGATATCCCTTCTTTACTCTGAACTACTAAGGATGAGATAATACTATGGGGACCTTCCCCTTCCTTTCTTCCGTGCTGGAAATGCCTTTTGTATGGCAGGAGGACCAGCTGCGCTCCCTGCTAGATCAGGATTACTCTTCTTCCCGGTGTGAACTATAAGAAGGAACCCTTAGGGACAGATAGTTTTGATTATTGCTGATCTGTCCCGCTATTGCGTTACGTATCAGTTTTGACATCCGTGCAGTAAGTTGTGCTCTTAGTGCATATCCGTTTTGCTTGGTTGTGGCCAGAAATACTTGTTAGCTATACTCATGCTACTACCCCTTTTAAGCAAACGTGATTTAAAAGGACATCAGTGATAAAAGAAATACAAAGGGATATATAATTCAAGTGGAAACATGTATGTCTGTTCTTGCGAGCATGTGCACACACACTGAACAGACCATAGTCTTACATTGTTGTTGGTAGTTATTCTGTATATGACATTTATTATTACTTTCCATAGCCTGTCTGCACAACCAGATTCACAGGCAGAGTGGTATAAAATAGGCTCTAGCACTTTCTAAACCGTTTAACAAATATTCCTGTGAGTGTGTGCAAGAGGCGCATGCAGTATCATTGTGCTCTTTAGCATAGCTGACCTTGGCACTGTCTCTGGGATGCTTAGGAATGGGGTCTGGTTTACATCTAGGCTCTCCTTTTCATCATTTACTAAGAAGCAAGAGACTTTGACAGCCTTAAAATAATAATAATAGTAATCCAAATACATCCAAACACTTTTCCTATCCTAGAAAAGTTAGAGCAGACCCCATAAGTAGTCTGTGGCCTCATGGAACTAGATCGTCTTTAGCATTTTTATTATGGAAGGTTCTGCAAGTTATGCTTTCTTTCCCTCATGTTCCTTGTGCCTTCTGATTTTTGATGCCAAAGACTTCATATATGGTCATGCCCCTTCTGACAGATTTTTAAGTTTGAGATTGATTGACGTTTCTGTCAGTCCTTGTCCGAGGCCAAGTACCACTCCTCTTCTCCTCCTCTGCTCATCAGAATGGTAATATGCATTCCAGTAAGTACTGTAGAGCACCTCAGATTCATTCCTAGAATCAGGAACTGAGTATTCATAGCAAGAATTCTGGAAATATACCATCACTGTCATAATGATAATTTAGGTAATACCTAAACGTTACCTTGTAGCGTGACTAAATGCCTTTATTGAATACTGAGTATCTTCGTGATACTTAATATATGACTATATTGTGTTCATTCTGCTGCTATATATGTAGTACAGCAGTAGGCACTTTTAGATTATCATGAAGAAGGCCTTGGAGATTTGGAATTGACAAGACCCTTTAACCGTACCACTGTTTTTGTTATGTTCAGAACATCTGCACTGTTTATTTGTTTCTGGTTTAATACGTGCCAAACTTACAAGGGTTTTACCCCAGAGTATGATACATAGAAAATAAGATCAGATTGTAAGGTTTTTGAAGAAAGCGGTCGAACGTTAAGATCTGAAATACGCTCAAGAGTGTTACAACATGCTGTTTAGATGAACGTTCTGGATTTCTAAAATGCTTTGCTGTCATCAAGAGAGACTTTGTAACTTCCTGTATGCTCCAAGGTCTTTTTTTTTTTTTTTTTTTGATGAAAGAAAGAATTTAGGAATGTTTATATAAAATTCATAGTCATACATGTATGAGGACCTCGAAAGATGAGAAGAATAAGGTGAAAGTGGAAACTCATTATTGTCTTAGGAAACATATTTACAGTATTGATTTACTATGAATATTAAACCAGGTTTGTCCATGAATATTGAATTATTACTGTTGCTCCACAATTAATCTTCAGCAAATCCAGTATTATAACCTGCTTTTGTGCCTGGCTCAAAGAATCCTGTGACGCTCTGATTCTGCCAGTCTGATTTTTCTGTGCAAGTGGTTGAATTTATACATTATCTAATAGTTCTCATTCTAGAGGCAGCCTTTGAATTCAAGGAACTAAAACTGCATCTTCCCAATTTCAGGTGAGATAATCCATATGGTAGAGCATTCCTGTTTTCCTTGGGAGTCTTTTGGAGCTCAAGTCCAAGAACATACAGATTTAAATTTCAGTTGCTGTTGTCCATCTTGTACACAAATATTTGTATGTGTGTGTGTCTCATACACACACTTGCATGTATTGGTGGCATTTGCCAGCGTTTGTAGACAAAAAAATGAATACATCTGCAGCTATTTCTAGGAATCATGGAAAACCAAGATGAATAAAACATTGTTCCTCCGTGAACTGTTGCAAAATCTGTACAAAAGAATTGACACAAAATTGTTCCAGGCTCATTTTTTATAGCAGTACAGAATAATTCAAACTATAGTGTCTATTGTGTGACCAGTGGCTACTTTGAAAAGGAATTTGCTGTATTTCCTAGGCAACCAGGGACAGCCTCACCGTTCTTTTTTTATTAAACGTGTTTATTTTTCACTTTTTGGTAATGATCCTATTTAAAAGAACAAAAACTAAGACAGCTGCTGATGGTAACTTTTATTCTTTTCCTGATCATGGTAAAGTCAAAATATCGAATCCATCACATTGTAATGACTACCACAACAATAGTTTATGATGTTTTGAATGTGAGTCTGACTTTATGGCAGAAGCAAGTGGCAGGAGAAATTTGGTCATGAGCTGGAAAGACCTTTCCCTCTTGAAACATAAATAGCATAAGTAACAGCAACACAGGCTGTGTAAACATTTCTTATAAGTGCTTTTGCTCCCAAATTTGTGGGAGTGTGAAAATCTTCTTGTAAGTCGCAGTGGCACATATGAACCCTGCCTCGCTATGCAGCAGTGGGATAATGCTTCTGTTGGTGCGTTTCCTGTCCATCTGCCCTTTCTGGCTCCGAAAGAGCAAGCTCCAACTGAAGGCCAGATTCCTCTTAACTTGACTTCAAATTTTTTGGGTTTTCCACACATGCTTTTGTGTCCCCTCTTATGCTTCATTTATTCCTTTTCCACTTTTCCAACTGCCTCTCTTAGGCACCCACTGAAAGCCTTCCACCAGAAACTTTTGTCCTCTGCGACAGATCTCTAGAAGGTTGTTTTTAGAAATGTAGGCTGTCTTTCTGCAGAGTTTTCAAACACTGGTAGGAACAGCAAACAAATGTAACTGTGGCCCCTACATCACACGTTGGAAGCGAGAAGTGAACTGAAAAGGGCAATTTTATTTCAGCACAGAAAGCGTATCTCCTCTTGATCCTGAGAGGCTCTTTAATGAGAAAATGCAGGAGTTGTTTGTTTAATGTGCTTTCAGGACCCAATCTTACAGAGAAAGGAAGTAATAAAACAATATAATTGATGAATGTAACCAGCCTCAATTAGTGTTTTTTGTTGATATGATTGCCACTTGTCCCCAAGAAAGGTTTCCAGACCTAGCCCAACACAAATAGTAATGAAGCAATTTGCATTTAAAAGTTTTGTGTTAATAATTTTTGTTTTAATTTTCTGAAGTTACACATATTTAGCAAAATGCAGTTTATATATACGTAATGTATACATTTGTGTATAATGTAAACACAAGTTGCGTGTGTTTGTATATACACACTCAAAACGTTAAAACTCAGAGTAGGATTTTCGTAGTGCTGTTCACTGTTGTAATTCTGCTCGTGCCAGAGTCCACGGGAGGTTGAAGCTTGGTAAGTGATGGTGCTTTCAAAGATCCCCGCTTTTGGAAGCTGTGCGAGCATTTTAGTGTTTTCCTTCTGAGTGTCTTATGTGGAAGGAGGCATCTGTCTGGCTGCTCTGTAAGCCCATCCAGTGGCAGCATCTCTGTTGCTCGGCCAGCTCTGAACGTGGGCAGCTTGCAGGGAACGTTTTGCCCTGGAACGGAAGCAATTGCAGGAGCTGTCGCAGGAGTTGCAGTCCTGCTAGTCTCTCGCATCAGTCCGGTTTCCTGTCAGCCAGACGGGTCGCTCCGCATTGTAACCTTGAACTCTTGCTACTCTCGCTAAACAGGATTTGAGTTAAAGGGATTTGGAGCGTTCATTGTTTTTCCATAGTTCTAGTTTCCGTTTGTTTCTTACCATAGCTATTAATTCATTTAAAATAAACTTTGAAACAACGTCCTCTGCGGTAACCGTGTCATATGCTTCCTTGTAGCCAGGTCTTATTCCTGGATCTTTTCATCTCTGCCGCTAAAGGAAGAAATGTCTCTGCTGAGCCTTATTGAGACCTAGCAGGGCTGAAGGGGCTGGCGAATGAGCTCGGGTGGCTATAGCTGTGGGCAGTTTAAGATGCTGCTGCTGCTGGCTGTCTGCCCAGAGTTACAGCCCAGTGCCGTGGTGGCAGGGGGACCATTTTAGGGCCTCAGCTTTGAGACGCAAGCACTACTGTGG